TTGAATTTAGCCTTTGTTTAATATTTAAATTGCATTAATTAATCTATGTCGTGTGTCTGTACCATGAAACAGGACGTTCGAGAAAATTTAGGAAGGTCGTTGCGCAAAGGAGTTGTAAGTATTTTTGATTATGAACCTAGATTAGGATTTTGAATTTATGCATATATTTTATTAATTTTCTGTGTGTTTTAAACATAGAATAGATAGTGACTTGATTTCTTGATGAAAAATAGAACCCGGACTTATAACGAGTAAACCCTAACCTGTTTGGAATTTATGAGGAGATGGAGACCAGAAGATCGAAGACTGAGGAATACCTAAACTGATGATAAGAAATAAAATTTAAATTTAAAGGAAATCACCAATAAAGCATAAGGTTGAGAAAAAGAAAATAAATAACGGAAGAAAATGAATAAAAATATAAGGGAAATGATTATGGTTACGAAACAATTAATTTAAACAAAATTTAAGAGAAAATTAGAATAAAAGGGAAGTAAATAAGAATTTGAAGATGAGAGGATCTGAGTGAATAAGGTATGGACCTTGAATACGTTCTCGTTTAGTTTGAATCGAGGAGGAGAATATGTGTGTGTGGCTGAAGTTCTGCGGGCATGATGCACATGGATAGAGCTTAGAATGTAGCACCCGGAAAGGAAAAAAAAAAAAAAAAAAAAAAAAAAAGGGCGGCCACGTCAGCAGCCACGTCAGCAGGCCCGGTCAGCAGTCCCGGCCAACCAGGGCCTGCCACGTGGCAAGACCGCGTCACTCCAAAAGGAGCCACGTTGGCGATCCGCGTGGGTGCGATCCGACGGCCCAGATCAATCGCGCGATCGAACGGCCCAGATTCAATCGCACGGACGGCCCAGATTCAATCAAAAACGAACGGCCCAGATTAAAACGAAATGAACGGCTGTGATCAAAAGGCAAGGGGTTATAAATAGAACCCCCACACCAGACCACAAACCCTAGCCGCCAGCCGCTCGCCGGAGAAGACGAACCAGAGGCCGACCGCCGCCACCCGCCGCCACTCGCCGCCGCACCGGGGAAATTTCCGACCGCCGATCGAGGTAAATTTCATACCCCCGACTCGTTTTTCCCCACTGATTCCTCCTATGGCCAAATCGAAGCCGAAATCCCGGCCAAACGGCCGGAATACGCGGCCGAAGCCCAGCGGCGCCGCCGCGCCCCCTCTCAGTTTTTGCCTCCGACGAGGCCCTTCCCGGCCTCCGTTCGATGCAATTTTTATATCACCGTGATCACCATTCTTTTCTCTACAGGTTGACCGGAGCCGAATCACCAAAACACGAACCTCGCCGGAGAGCCGCCGCACCCGAGAGCGCCGCCGCCGGTAAGCTCCGTTTTTCCGTGATTTTTTGGCCCCCCGAGGGCCCTAGGGTTGTTTTCTCACAAGGACCGATGCGAGTGTGGCCGAATTCGGCCGAAAACAGCCAACCCGAGGCGACTCGCCGCCGCCAGCGGCGGCGCCGTCGCCGGAGCACGGCGGAGCCGCCGTGCCGGAGTTGCGATTTGGGCCGAAAGAGGCCCTGGGCCTAATTTGGGTTTTTTTTTGGAACACGTGCAGGTACTGTTAGTGTGTTTCAGTTCCCCGGGAAAAATTCAGGAAAAATTAGGGACGGCCTGCAGGCGCACTGTGAATCGTATTCGGATCCCGAAAACAAGTAAGGACCCCTCACCCTATTTCCTATCACGGTATTAAAGTTCAAAATGATAAAACGGTATTTTTTGAATTAACGAATGTGTGAAATTGCTTAAGGTGGCTAATGGAGCCCGAGTCTAGTGTGATTGGTGATTTACTGTTATTTGGCCTGTTTACAGCTTTAAATGCAAAATGAGGTTTGATGTGTTCATTTTACAGATTTGTGTGCATATACTACGTTTTTATTAATCATGGGCTGAATGACTGAAAAACTGATACTGTATGTTGTCTGTTTGGCATGAATTACTGTTTTGCTTGTTTGTATGTGAATTGATGATGCTGACTGAGGAAAAGGAAAATGAAAGATTGTGTAGACTGATAATTGTATTATGGGGGTCAGCCTGACTAGATATCCTGGGAGATGGTGGACGGACCGGGTCCGTAGGGAACCCTACCGGGATTGTGGTCTCACATACCGGACGGGGTATGGAGATCTTATGGTTTTGGCGCCCATACCGGACGGGGTATGGGGACGGCCCGTTTCACCCTCATACCGGACGGGGTATTGAGGTTTATGGTTTTGGCGCCCATACCGGACGGGGTATGGGGACGGCCCGTTTCACCCTCATACCGGACGGGGTATTGAGGTTCATGGTTTTGGCGCTCATACCGGACGGGGTATGGGGACGGCCCTGGAAACTGATTATGAATGTTAAAGGTTAACGGGTAGCGGAACCCCTATGGACCCCCACGGATACTAGTAGGCTGGTAAATGAGAAAAAGATATGTTGTACAATGATTGAATTACAAGAGGCGTGATAAGTGTTATGTTTTACAGCTTATATTATTCCATGATTATGATAATGTTATTGTTTTTCTTATATTGTTTTCATAAATTCCACCGAGGTAAGTGGATGGTAAAGGTTTTATCATAAATAAAAGGATTTGTTGTAAATTATGCTCCATTGGTCTTTTGTGTTTTTCTACCCACCTTTACCTCCGTGACGGTGAGATATCGTGATGTTCTTACTGGGCTAGTGTAGCTCACTCCTTATTTAACCATTTCAGATCAGGAAGACATGGTTCCCGAGCCCGTTCCGCAGGAGGACGACGAAGGGGATGCCTAGAGACTCTGTAGTCATACTCATAGTTTTATTTTCGAGTTTCTCTCTTAGTTAGTTTAATCTTTTATATTTTAAGTACGTTTTTGGTTTTTCGTGTAAGGGATGTTAACTGAAATTTTGATCTCGCTTCCACATTTGATATATTTAAATACTCATTTCATTTTAATATTTCCGGGGCCGTTACATAAGTTATTAATGTGAATGGTTCACGTGTAGCGGGGACCCCCTATGGATCCCCATGGATACTAGTATGCTGATAAAAGAGGAATATTGTTGCCTGATGATTGAAATACAAAAGCATGATATGTGTTATGTTGCAGAGTGTGCGTGATCTTATGATATTTATGATGAAATTGTTTTCATAAATTGTTTTCATGAATTTCACCGAGGTAAGT